ACTTATAAAATAAAAACTTATAAATAAAAAAAAAAATTTAAAACAATTATCATATTAGTAAAAATACATTAGTCAACAATAAATCGATCACTTTGTATAGATACTCTACAGGAAGGCTATGAAAGAAACTTCCTTTCAAAGTCTATGTGTACTTAGATTTTACATTGAAATTTCTCAAAAAGTATATCAAAAGATAACTTAATGTCACTAAATTATTGTATTAAAATTTCATTAGGAACAGTATTTTGAAAAAAGTTATAGCAGTTTTTAAATGCAAAAAAGAAATTTCGGAAATGCCATTTTTTAAGGTATTGTAGATTTGAGATATTTTTCTAAATTTCTGAAATTTAAGAGATATTTTACAATTTTTAACAACCATTAGTTCAACTAGATTAAATCCGTATTCTTTTGACGTACTAATCATTAAAATTGGTCCACTCTACAGTAACCCTTTACAGGCAAGGCTAAAATCTTACTACAAGAGACCAGGCGGGTCATGGATGACCAAATAGATTTTTATTCACTTTTATCATTCTTTAATACCTTTTTTTAATTTATAAATGTTTGTTCATAGATAAAAATGTATTTTTATGTATGAAAGGTAAATTTAAATGTATATTAAAACATGCTCCGGCCACTTGCCTGTTAAAGGTTAAGTTTATTTTACAGAAAGGATTAAAATCAGGGTAATTAGATTTGTATCTTTTAACTAAATGTTTGAAATATAATTTGTTCAAAATAAATAAAGCTCAGTTTTTTTATCTCAAATTTTGAACATGTTAGTAGTTCAATATGAAATACATAGGTCGAAACTATCAAGGTACAACTAAGAAAAAAATCCAAGTTAATTTATCATTTCTTAATAATAATGTTTCGTATAAAATAGAATAGGTGTTCTTTTACTATTTTTAAAGCAAAAGAATTGACAGTTAATAGATAACCCAGAAAAATCGAGAACAACCAACCAAACCTTAAGAAAAATAATTATGTTTTTAAAGTCATTATTGCAATAACACAATATAGTTGCATTTGAAATACTATACTAGTTCTTAAAAATTATTATCATTTCCTCGTCTAACCAAACTAAATAAAATATTTGATTTAAAAACTTTTTAATAAAAAAACATATTTATTATATGTAACAATGTAAAAATTTTTCAAATTTGAACTATTAAGTCAAGATAAAAGTTAAAATTATGAAGTTCACTTAAGAATTCTATATATATGGACAAAAGGCACTTATAAGTTCTTCTTACTTAAATAACATTTCTCAAAGTTTATTCAACAAGTTAAATATGATTCTAAAAGGATATTTCTTGACCTTATTTTTATTCGAAACTAGTATTGAATTCATCAAGGATGATACAGTTTTTTTCATTAGATAATATCATTTCAAGAATTAGAAAATCCTGTAATTCAATAATATAATAACATAAAGCAATCATCCCACTTTAAAAAATGTATCTCATAACATAGTCCATTTAGTAACAATTGACATTTTCATTTGTATACATTTAGAGTACTATATAATTGAATATTTATTCGATTGAGTTTGAAAAATGCATTATACGATATTTTCTATGTCTTTAAAATAAAATACTAATTTTCATCAAATAGTTAATTTTGCGTAATTTATTTATTTAAAAAAATATAATTTTATCTCCGATGGTTAAAAGTTTTTGTTTACCAGTAAAATTTTCCGAAGAAAAATTTGAACTCTACTAGACTTATACAACTTTGTGGGAAACTACAAGCAAACTTATTTCGAGTAAATAAAAAACTTATAAAATAAAAAAAAATATCATCTTCAATGTTGAAGTTTATTATGACATTCTTACATAATTTATCATAATACTATCTAAAGGTCAATTATGTAAGAATGTCTTCTATAGGCGTGTAAAAGGGTAATCAAATATCCACCACTTTCATCATAAAATTTTTTATTAATAATACTCTAATAACCCTACCTCTTTACCAATAAAAGTTTTCATAAAACTTCACTGATAAATTTTTTTCAACATGATTGTGAAAATTGACTTTTTTTGAAAATTTGGGCAATTAAATGGTATGTAATAATCGTGATTATATAGAATTTCCAAATAAATAAAATAATGTTTAAAATTGTTAGTCTGTGAAAAAATCAAAAATACATCTATTCAAGAAAAAAATAGTTACAATTAATAATTTTACATAATATAGAATTTTTTAATTTGGCGGTAGCTAAGGATATATATTAAGAATGTCTAGTTTTCAGATTGCTGAACATTTTTTATCATGTTTTTGCACAGAGCTTTTAATTAAGCTAAATTCCCAATAACGTTTTCGTATTAGTAAACTACCAGTAAACAAAAAGATATCATTAGTCTTTCCACGAAACTACCTTTCATTGAACTTTTGATCTATAATTTTATACTTATCAGATTTTAATTAATTTAACTAATGTGGAAGTTTTCGTTACTTGTTGACTGACTGTTTATTTTGATGTGCTCAAAAAGGTATCCTCAGAAATAAACGTGCACACTTTTTATGAAATGATTTTATTTTTTTTGTTCTTAAAAATATTAGTTAAGGTGTAGCTCTCGTTTAAAAGTACCATTTATAAATAAATGATTTGTGAAAAGTTTTAATTTTTAACAAATTTCTAAGATTCAATTCAATTAAATTATTTTACGTTATCTTAACATTTATAATTTCGAAATCATAGTTAATTAATTTTTTTATGATTATATGGCTACTAAAAGATTTCATCTTGTTACAATTAATGAAGTTTTTTTTTTAAAATACAGGTAACNATTTTTTATTGAAATGATTTTATTTTTTTTGTTCTTAAAAATATTAGTTAAGGTGTAGCTCTCGTTGAAAAGTACCATTTATAAATAAATGATTTGTGTCAAGTTTTAATTTTTAACAAATTTCTAAGATTCAATTCAATTAAATTATTTTACGTTATCTTAACATTTATAATTTCGAAATCATAGTTAATTAATTTTTTTATGATTATATGGCTACTAAAAGATTTCATCTTGTTACAATTAATGAAGTTTTTTTTTTAAAATACAGGTAACGCACAAAATTATAAATTGTTGAAAAATATGCTGAATTAATACTCCATGTCAAAAATTACTGTAAAAATATTATATCTTGAAAAATATAATCAATAAGGTCTAATAAATAAATAAATGAAATCAGAAATCATGTTTTAATTGTGAAAAGGATATTTCTCTAGTAAAATTACTTCAGAGAAAATGTTTGCATGATTAAGTGTAAATTGATAAATCCAGAGGGTTATGAACTTTAGAGGGTCGATGTATTTTTGTGACTAATGTGTATGTGATTTTAAGTTTTTATTAGTTTTTTATTCTCTATATCAACTTCTTTTCTTTCTATATCGTCTAACACTCTTCTAATAAAAGTGACTATTTTTATATAGCACAAAATGAGCAGGTTTTACCCTGTGTAATTTGTTTTTGAACTAATTTTTATCAAGTTCAACATGAAATTTAAGACGAACAATTCAAATAGACGGCAGAAACTTTTTCGCGATTTTGTCAATACTCGCGATAGTATTGAGACAAACTTCGAATTCCCAATGTTAATTATTGGTTGCGTGCTTAAACATTGATAGGAAAATAGTCATGTGGTCAAAACTTTGTTNGGGTTATGAACTTTAGAGGGTCGATGTATCTATGTGAATGTGATTTTAAGTTTTTATTAGTTTTTTATTCTCTATATCAACTTCTTTTCTTTCTATATCGACTAACACTCTTCTAATAAAAGTGACTATTTTTATATAGCACATAATGAGCAGGTTTTACCCTGTGTAATTTGTTTTTGAACTAATTTTTATCAAGTTCAACATGAAATTTAAGACGAACAATTCAAATAGACGGCAGAAACTTTTTCGCGATTTTGTCAATACTCGCGATAGTATTGAAACAAACTTCGAATTCCCAATGTTAATTATTGGTTGCGTGCTTAAACATTGATAGGAAAATAGTCATGTGGTCAAAACTTTGTTAGCACTAGTATTTCCGTATCAACTTTAAATGACTTTGTCTAAATACTGTCTTTTCTTTGAAAACTCTTTGGTTAATGGTATTCTACTTAAGCCAGTGGAAATTTTCGGGATATAATCAAGTTGAAAAAAATCATATCTTTGAGTACGGATATTTTAAAAATAAGTGACATTGTTGTTTACATTAGAGCTGTCATTTATGGTCTATTCATTAATTTAAATAAAAATTAAAACGGTTTTTGTTCACGTAAACTCTAATTAGGCTGTTGTCGCGATAAAATATAATTTCTATAACATTGACACCGTTTAACCGATTTGTGCGCACTGCCCATTTTTTCATAACAAATCCATTAACCCCTTTAACATGGTTTCGCAATATTATTGTTACTCGAATATTGGCCGTTGTTAATACGCAGGTAAATGGCGGTACTCTAATAACTAATGCGTGCGATTTATAGTCCCACGGACATTTTTTACAACTCCGGTTCAGTGGCAACTGGTAATTAATATGTTACAAGACAAAAAAAAAACCCCGTTTTGCATACGTGCGTGAGCTGCGGTATTATTGTTGTCGTACGTACACAATCTGCCAGCAAAGGTACATGATATATACACGCTCATTGTACGAAATACTCGGTTATAATTAAATAAAAGCCTATCAGATTTGTCACGATAACCCCAAAAAGCGCATGCAAACGCACACCCGGAAAACATTAAAACCTTTGGCCGAGTTCTTCATTCATATTTGCTCGGCATGCGTTTGGTCCGAGTGTTATGAATTGAATAGTTCCGGTGACAAGCTTTACAACGAGTACCACAAATCCCATCGGAACGAGGACGCGATCAAATTGTGCCGAATAAATGTATTTGGGCGGCGATTAATGAATATTTCAAATGTGTTCCGTTTACTTTTTTTGGGCTGCGCGGTTTTTTAAGATTATCGACAGTCGCGTCGAGCTAAAACTGGCGGACAGTTCGAAATTACCTTTATAAGTTAACGAACTGTGTCTCCTCAACGAATTGTTGGCTGCCACGGCGTTGGTGTTGGTAGTCGTGAACGTTTTGGTGCCGGTCAACCTCATGTTGGGCATCATACTTTGGCGCACGTTGCGTTCGGGGTGGCACAGGATAATGTACAGCTATAACAGAAAATGCGGTTGACGTAACAAACACCTGCAGCTGTTTATTGCATAATCTATTTGAAAGTTGAGCCTAACGAAGTTTCGCCAGTGCCGATAATTCAAACCGTCCCGCGCGCCGATTAAAGTGCACGCATAAAGTGTAATTTTAATCAATCTTTACCCGCGTCACAGCTGAAAGCGGCGGGAACACTATTATTTTTGATTTTTCCTCGTGCGCTTTCGCCGACCCTTTAGGAATTATATTTTACTGCTTTTCGGCGGTCCCCCCCCCCAAGTGGTAACCAAATCGAATTATTCGGCCGGATATCTTGGGAAACGAGACGCCGCAGCGCACCAAATTAGAAATGATTTTTATTTTTGTGCCGTGGAAAAAGCGGCAATATCTCGAGTAACCGGCGAAACTTTAGTGGACGGTAACTTTTATCATTTTAAACCCTGCCGGTCGTTTCTCTTCATTACCATTATACACTGTTTCATTATGTTTAAAAATAAATAGATAACTGGAGTATTGTTTAACGGCAAACAATCCTTCGAAAGTTACCCCTGGCAAATATAATTCTCTTCCCTTTTGTGCGCCACAAAGTTTTCTACTTCTACGAGCGTCCATTAAGTTAAAATGAACTAGTTATTTGTATTTCAGCACTTTTCATATCATGTGTCGTCAAGTATAATTGATTGATTAAGTACCTTAGGCGAGAAAAGACAAACAATAGTGACGCTGGCAGACAAACTGATGGTGACTGACATGGTCGTTATCCTCAGTGGAGTATGGTTACCCGTTCCGAAGTACAACGGCACAAAAGCCAGCCATATAACGCATGTTGTGTACATAGTGAAACCTAAAATAAAATAATTTACATGATTATAAATCATAATAATAGTGTCATTCAATTTGAGCTATTACAAACACAAACTTCAATTTTCTAGGCCAGTAAATCACTACATAAACATTTTACTTATTAATTTAATTTTCTAAAAGTAATTATAAAAAATGCCGTTGAGTTATACTTGACATTTTTTGCAGTATAGTATAAATTTCAATTTGAGTTTTTATTAAATCATTTATTTTTAATTAATTTTGTCTTGTGATATGAATTTTAGTGATATAATAATACACGTTCTTATTAGTCGTAGATTAACATAAAACAATGTTGACTTCATACATAGTCTATAAAGTTAATATTGTATTACATTAAAACTAATTGATATGTAGTATACAATTTTAGAGTCGATTTTGAGATTGGACTAAAAAACGATTTTTCGAAAGAAATATAAAAAAAAAATTCCTTATTATTTTCAATTAATTTTGGAAAACTAATTCCTCAAATATTCTGATTATCGTGTCAATAACAGTATGCAGTTGGATATCTAAGTAATTTCATCAAAGTTTAAAAAAATGTTTGATCGACGAATTCCAATACCCAAGCAATTGATTGGGTTCAATACATTCTCCATTGGTAAGACGTAAACTTTGTCGAGTTTTAAAGTAGAAAATGTTCTTGGAATTGTTTTTTAGCTTGAAAACTTTGTTGTAAATAATCGTGGATCAAAAACAACACAATAGTACACAATTTCGTGTTTTTAGGAATTGGCTTATATAAAATAAGTCAACAGAAGATGTTTGCAAGTATGACTTAAACGATTTAGAGACTATATAGATTTTATTACTTCAGTTTCTCTTAAAAATGATTAAGACAACTTTTACGCTTGGTTTCTATTTAAATAATTCGACTTAGTTGCATTTAAAAACTAAAAAATCAATAAGGGACACATACGTACGTCGTATAAATAAAACTAATATTTATTACAAAGAGTCGAGTTTAATCTTAATAGTCTATGTGATGAAACCACATAGATAATTAAGATTTTTTGTAAATTGAACTGAATTAGCTGAGGTTTTAGCTATATATTTCAACGTTATTGGCTATTTATATATTTAAAATTCAGGTAATACAAGAGCTTAATGAAAATATTTTTTTCAAGGAATAATAATTTTCACTAACTATTTTTGTTTTTGATTTGTATGGTTTTATTTTATAAAGATTATATTCGTTCATATCAATAAAGTAATATTGTAATTTCTATGTAAAATAAGTTATGTTTTATTCGTAAAAGGTGTATAAAGTATGCAAAATGGTTTTTGCGATTTTCATTGTTAATAATTATTTACCTGTTTTTTTACTTACTGAACCTTATTTACAAATAGTTTATATTGTTAATACATTAGTTATCAAGTTGTTTGAGTTTCGTTAGAAATGAAAAAAATCTAAAATAAAAATAATATTATTTTGTTTTCTTTTAAAATTATAATTGAACACCTTGTTAAAATGTCTTAAGGGCATTCTACCCGAAAGAATAACCTTTGTCCTGAAATTTATAACCTATTGAATCGCAAAACATTTGAAATGTTAAAAATATACTTTTTAAAATTATCAATTACAATCCATTGATATTTCTTTTATAAAAATCACAAGATATGGACCTCCTAAAAATTTATTTCATTCTATTTTTGTGAAAAAAAATTACAATAAAAATTGATGTTTGCTGTTGTTGATTTTCATAAAAAAATTTTTATTTATATTTATAATTTCATGTACAAATCGCTAATGTCCTGTGTAATAATTTTGAAAGTATACATTGGAATTTGTTTCTTTTTTTACAAAAGCAAAAAATCTCACTTAAAATTGTGAATGATTTCTAGTTGTGGTTTTATAACTAAGTGTACAATAATTGAAAAAATAATTCATTTGTATTCAATACAGAAATCTAAAAAGTTTTAATGTTGTACATTTTTTATTTAATAAATGGACAACAAACGCGTATTTTTACAAACCTCGCTACATCAATTCAGTAAAAAAAATCAATTGTACCAAAATACTACATTCGAAAAATATATAAGAATATTGGAATTTTGGTGAAATGCATTTGGTATAAGTAAAATAAAAATTTAATAAAATATTTTGCTATTAAAACGATCCTGCCGAGTACAATTCTTGATGGTCTTATAAGTTTTTGAAACATTTGAATGTAAATACATTTATAGGTTGGAAATTAATTTATTTAGTTTAAAAGTTGTGTAATAAATTATTATAGATTAAAAAATTAAAAATATATTTGTTTCATTCAGTGACACATTGTTGTAAAAAATATTGAAAACTTTTCTTCTAACTTTACAAGAAAATTTTATTTATTCTTTGAAAACCAATTTTTTTACAATCCTTCTCTGTATTGTTAGTCATAAAGACGTAACTATTTTGATCGTATAAACGATGAGTCTGTCTCTATGCTCAACCAGGTCATATGAAAAAAAATGCATCACATGTTCTGAGTTGCTATATTGACAATGCGTGTAAAATGTGATTAAAATTATTGGTCTGAAATTTGGAAAGATAATTTGTATATCAGTTAGTACAATTAAAGTTAAATTGATTATCAATCTCATAATAATAATAAAATCTCTTGTTTTCGAATACTGTTTGAGCATAATTTGTTTCTCCTTTATTCAAAAAATGAAATCTGTTGTATTTCAGTAAAATTAATTAAAAAATGAATTTCATAAATAGAAGTAAAAATAAAGTGTACGTAGTAACAACACAAATAATTAATCTTGCAGTTGTAAGTTGGATCAGTGTCACAGCTTCGTTTTTCTACGTGTCCAGTAAGTATTAGTGATTCTGAAGGTTAAAACATCTTATTTAGTTGATAATCCTAAGTTTATATATTACATTTAAAAACTCAGAAATACTCCAATTAAAATTTATGACTAAATAATTATATTAAAAAGTTTATTTTAAAGAATTCATTCTATCTAAAATATTTTGATAATAGTAATAAATACTTTCTTCGAGTTATGTTCATTTTATGATCAACGAGTGGTTATTGTTTAATTAAAAATAGTGCAAAAAAATATAATCAAAATAAAGTGTTTATAATCCATATAGATTACGAAGTTTTTTCTTAATACACGTTTTCTTACAACTATTAAAAAAATAAACGAGGAGTTAATACCCTTATGACTCGCTAAGTCATTATTTTTTTCATTTAAATCTAGAAGACAATAAATTATTTTTAAATAGCAATATAGATTTTAGAATTTTGATTAATGTTTATTTAACCGAGAATCACTCGGTTATAGTGTAACACTAATGAAAAATAAAGAATTTCAATGTAATAGAATGTTTGTATTCTTGAAGCAAAAATATTTTTAAAACTACATGTGTGTTGTAAGCAACACGATAAACAATTAACTATATAGAACAATAGAACCGTTTTGGCAATAGAAAAAGGACAACAAGACAAAAGAAAAATGCATCCCCTTGATAAAACGTATCACGCTTTGTACGCATATGTCGTGTTCTAAATTAAACAATGAAGCAAATTAACAGTTTTATTAAGACGCTATTTAACCGGTGGTTGAGTTGAAAGTTTTATACGTTTAAAAATGTTTATTGCCATTTCGTTTTGCAAAGAAGATATTTTTATAGGCCAAACCGTAAATTCCAAATTTCTTGAACACCATCAGACGAACACGAAATTGATAACATTAATATTAATGAATAATATTTATTGTGATAGATTTAAAATTTTAAGTATTTTCAGTTTTAAACTTCTTATATTTGTTTGTTTTCCTTGAGCTATTTACTTTTTGGTGAAATAAAATATTCAACAGTCGCATTAGCCAGAGTAAACAAATAATATATTAGTTGTTGTCTTCATAGGTAGTACCGGAGTACAAAGTTTAAAAAAGTTCAATACTATGTTTTTACCAAAGTCATTACATATTATTTTTTAAATTATACTTTTTTACGACCTATAATATTTTTTAGATAGTAAACTATAATTTATATAATTATATACTAAATGAATTTTGAAAACGGGTACAAATAATTACAATGCCATTAAACATTATTTACAATCATTACAAACAATTTTGTTTTGTGTATTTTATTTTAGACATTGATTTAACAATATTATAATGAAGTAAAAATCTTACCGATGTGCTTTGACTCATTGAATGCTTCTGGAATATTTCTAGTAAGTACGGCGTATACAGTACATATCACAATCAACACAATTGGGTAACCGAATGCTGTTACATAAGACGTGTTGATGAACGAGGAACATACCAATATATTGGAATCTCTGCTTGGGTAATAATGAATAGCTCTTGGTGGGCTTACAAGCATCCAGACACCATTTATGAGTACCTAAATGTGTTATAGATGGAATACAAGTTGATAAAAACGTTTATTATTTAAAAATTCACACGACAAGTAAATTATTAAATAAAAACAATTACATAATTAAAAAAGCTTAAAAGTAACAATAACCACAAGACCGTAAAAGTTTCTTTTGGATGCAATTGGTTTTTACTTGCAGTTTATTTTGATTCAATTAAAAACTTAAATTACATAATATGGAATATAAACGTCGGTTGCGTATTATGCTAAAGTCGCAAAAAAATTAAACAACAATTAGTGTATTTGAACTGTATCCCACTGCAGATTTTTTCGTCTATTAATTTTTAATATAAATGGTTATTTATTTATAAAAAGTATTTTAATTATATTTAATTGATTGTGGTTCAAATTTTTTAATTAAGTGCTGTTTATTTTTAATCATAACAAATTTAAATACTTGATAATTCAAATGAAGTTTTGTTTAATAATTGACACGGTACCGTGTTTCCCTCAGCCGCACATCACGTTATCAACCTAAATGAAAGTGTATCGGGATCTGAATCATAAGTGCACGGTGGCCTAGTGGTAAGGTTTGTCTCTACGACGCATTGGGTCGCGGGTTCTAATCCCGTACCGTGCCTCTTTTTTTCACATGATTTCCGGTACACTTTCTATAACCGGCCGTCAATCCCCGGCGGCCGTGTTATAATATATTATATTTGTGTATTACTTTAATTATGTCCCAAATATGAAAAATTATTTGATACAGTTTGTATACAATAGTGAACATAATTTCAATAGTATTTTTTTATTGTTTTCATTGCTCGTGGTACAATTATAATTGGAATAAAATAAAGATAGTAAAGAGCTGTTTCGAAGTATATCGATAGATTTCTTGAAATTGCACCTTTCATTTTAAGTAATGTTTTTAAATGAAGTGTGTGACTCCGAATTTATTAAATTTCTATGTGAAATTCATAGATTCAGTGAAAATAGAATAATTAAATCTACTTAACAAGTATTTCTTTTTAGTTAATTGAAAGAACTCGTTATTTTCAGTATGTTGTATTATTATATTATCAAGGAGTATCATTATATTTTCAGAAAAGTGTTATTATTATTTACAAACTCCTATAAAATCGTTTCTAACATCGGTTTAGTTGTTATTGGTATTATTTATTACGATAACAACCGAAAAATAACAAACGGTCAGCGAGTGTGATTATTACAGAATTTGGTCATTTGGTTTTTGCTGTAAATCCACCAAAACGTAAGTAAACTTAATGATTACTTGCAACATGCTTAAAAATAATATAAAAAAATTGTTTATTCCAATAAAGGATCTAAATTTAATTATTCTGAGGTAAAAACGGAATTTATGTGATGTCCTCATACGAGGCCGTGTGCATAATTTAATAATTCTTACGTCCCCGTATGAGACATGATGCAAACTGAAAACTATAAAGTGTATACTAAAATACAAATTTATTCATTTTATAATTTCTACTTTGCTAATTTGTATTTTAATATATTATGTACTTAGAATATGGATCTCAGGGAAAAGGATATACAGTTTTTATTAGATGTAGACGTCCCCACTGATTCTGAAGCCTGAAGTCTGAGTATATGTTATGTTAAAGTTTAATGTTTTTTTTGAACATTTTGTAAACAAGTGATTAAACACAATTTAAAATTTTCTTTAATCGAACAGTAGTATTACTTGATTTATTTTAGATGATAATTTAAAGTTTTTTATTTGAAATTATTAAAATGGTAAAAAATAATTTAATTAAAAAAAATTTTTTGCTATTATTTGCACAGCGTCTCGTATGAGGACAGATGACTTAAGTTGAATTTTCACTCAAAATAGGAATTAAATTTTTACCATCATTCAAAGATGATGAACAAAACAAAAAAAAATTTTTTTGTTAATATTTTTTTTTCATGCAAGAACTGCATAATACCGATCTATTAAAACTTGAAATTTTTTTTTTTATTTTTTTGCCATGACAGTAACCAATTGAAAATAAATTATAAAACGTTAAACTACACTCTTCCGTATGAAATGTTACGTATTACTTGTATAGATATTAGTCCTGTGCATATGACTAATTGAGACTTAGGTGAAATATAATTTGGTCTTTTTACTGTGCGGCGACCGGCATTGAATATTCGTGATATTCGGTTTGTTTTGGTTAATAATGCAGCATACACTACTGTAAAACAGAATCCAACACCAAACCTGTTAAGAATAAATTCAAATTAATTATATTTATTTGATTTTATTTTTATATACTTTGATAGATTTTGATAAATCAAAATAATTTAAGCCGTAGAACAGTTTACTTCTTTTTTAACAAAACAATCCATATGTATTACTCTTATTTAAAGGAAATTTGTACAAAATAAAAAAAATTCTGCGCTAAATAAGACTTGTAAACGGGACAAATATTTATGGAAATAACATATATTTTTATTTTACTTAAAAAATATCAAAGGTAGGTAATAAATGTTTTTTAAATATATTAAAAAGAAACATACTTTTGAAATTAATTTCCTATACATTAAATATTTTGTTTGTAAAATTATTACGCAAACCAATAAGATTCGATCAAAGGAAAATGCAAAATTCTTTAATATTTCGTGTGATTTTATGAATTAGAATTTTGTGGGACAAATTGTTCGTCAAAATCATTTAGCAGAATAAATATCATTTATATTTTTATAATATAGTTAACATTGAAAATAAATCAATTTGAAAATTCTAAGTAATGAACTTAAGTACACCATATTTTAAAATAAATAATTTAAGTTATTTATAAGACGAGGAAAATATTTCTATTATTTTTTGAGAGCACGAAAAAAACTTTCAAGAATTTTATTACACTTTAGTTTTGTATGAATGTTTAATGCAGCTGTCACCACCGTTTATATAATTATAAAATTCTTGTAGCAACCATGAAATGTCAAAAAAAAAAAAAAGTTCTCTGTCTCTTAGGTAGCATTAAATAATAGCACCAATTATAGAAAACTGCGTTTATGCATTTTGTTTAAGGGGATTTTGTCATTTATTTTACATTTTCGCGCATGTTTAGGATTATGATGTTATTATTAGCGCTTAAAGTCCCTGCCTGGTTTTATGAGATATCATATTAAAGCCTTCAAAAACACGTACGACGGATATTAAAGGCCATTACACACACTTTACAGCGCTTCCCTATCGATAATAACTAATCCGTTCGCTTCAAATCAACCGCTAAATTGTATTATAATGCATTCCGATCGCTGTATAATGGAAGGCTGGTAATTTTTTACCGCGTAATCTGAAGGTTAGATGGGAAACAAAAATTGTGCTTGTGATTTTACCAATTTCACCTTCCTATTAAGTTTACTTTTTCATGTCAACATTATAAAAACGTCAAGAAGTTGTTATGAATAATGCAACTTTATAGTAACGCTCTATAAAATATAAAAATATTTAGGTGTACTTAAAGAGATCTAAACTTTTACATCTAATAACTATTAATATGAAACTAGCGATGTTAAACGAATCTGGAAAAATGTAAAATAAAAAGAGTTTTGTATCGTTATATTTTGTTGCTTATCTTGCTATTTGTAGGAGCGATTTTTTATAGACTTCAATCGTACTACACTAGAAATATCATAGAACCATAAAAAAAATCAACACATTATTTAACATGACTTTATCAATTTAAGTATTAGATAGTTAAATGAAATAAAATGTACTCGACAACATACTTTATCATCTAAGTGTAATAAAATAACTCTAGATTAAAAATTATATTTTTGTTAATTAGTTTAAATTTATGATTAATTATCAACAAATTAACCATAGATATTTATATATACATATATTTTGGTAATATTTTATACAATCAGATTTTGCTTGATGTAGTCTTGCGTTTGTTTACTTGAGTAGAACGGAATTATATTTCGTAAAATCACCATTCTTAATTAAAATATAGTTAAGCATGCATGTTGTAATAACAATACTATACTTAAATAATGATTAATAAACGTGTGTTGATTAATTTAAATTTTAAATAAATGAATGAATAATCAATAAAAATTATTATAAGATTTTTTGTTTTTACCAACACTGCTATCAATAAAAAAGTAAACATGTTAACTTATGGCAATTGTTATTATGATATTACTTTGATTCAGAATATAATATTTTAACTAAAGTAATTTATGCATTTATAAATGCATAAATGTTAATCTATGTAAATTGTGTTGTCTACTATAATATAATATAATGTCTATAATTATATAGAGTATTTTGTTTTGTCTTAGTTATGTACTTAATACCTTTGTGGTATCATATACATACATTTAACTATGTATCTTCTTCTTCTTCCTCGCCTTAATCCCAACTACTTGGGGTCCTCCATCCTTATCCTAAACTTCCACTTGACACGATCTCCCACATCATCTACGCTCATACATACATTTAACTATGTGTGATAGAAAAAATAAAATCTGTTATGCAAAATCACGAGGTTGATGGTTGTCCATATAAACTACTTGGGTAATATTCCACGTAGACAACGTTAACGAATTCTAAAAGGTTTGTAGCAAGTTTACATTAGATGAATGCATTGCTTCGCCTTTTTGTTTAGCCAGTTAACAACAACGGTAACATAATAATAATAATAATAATAATAATGTATTTTTCATGACGCACAAAGGGGCCGTAAATTATATTCAACATTAAAATTACTTTTTTGTAGAATAACTAAATGTAATATCTTCAAAAATTACCAAATATGTTGGCAATGTGTATCATATTGAATATTTTTAAAATTGATCGACGGTTAATTTACCGTTTAATTTGTTTTGATCTTTATTAAAATATCGTGTGTAAAATGAACGAGAAGTATAAAAGATATTATAGAATTATGAAGCTAAAGAGTAACTATAATTTGATGTTATAAAAGGTTTTTGTTATTTGGGTTGTTACAAATATTGGTTTAGTTATATATCTATAGTAACCTATTAAACATTTTTCTGAAGACGTCATTAAAGAATAAAATTTACTTGGAATAAATATCAGAACCTTTAAATAATGTAAAAATACCGGTGTTTAGTGGACACAGATCCCTGGACCTCCCCACTACCTGTAAATCTGGCACTGGTGTATTGAAATGCTTTAATTATAAATCAAAATATATAAAACTCCAAATTTTAAATTTAAAAATACATTTTCTTTAAAAGAACTCTAGTTAAATGTGCTCATTTGTGGGTTAAATTATTGGTAAAATTGAATCAGGTGGAATAGCGAATATGAAATACTGATTATTTTAGTATCTCAAAAAATTTAATAAATTTATAAACCATCTAACACCAAGGTATAAAAAAATATATTATAAAATGTGAGAGTTATATTTATCATTTGAACGATTTTGACTAGAGAGTTACTCAAATAAAAGAGTCAATGCTTTTTATGTTGGATCGTTCTTGTTTCATAGAAGGCAAAAAGAACTGTGAAATGATGCGAAAACGAAAATAACTTTTACACTCCAAATACAGTAATTTCCATGATAGACAGATGTATTTTAAAAAATTGAGGAGATTATTTGTCATTTGGTTAATAAATTGTATGCTCCATATAATTTCTTTGACAAAAAGGGAACAGCTTATTGGAAATTTGAGGTAACATATTTATATATATATAATCAAAAGTACATTTATAAAATCAAGCTCGACTTGCGTCTTCTTTGAGTTTTTTCCAATTTAAAAATTTCCACTTTAGTTTATAAAAGCTGATCTATTCAGTGATCTAAATCGCATGAGATAATATAACATGATAATTGCTGTTACGGTTTATTAAAAAATGTAATAGTTTCCGTTTTACTAAATATAAGTAGATATTTTTAGAACAACCATGTTGCATTTTGGTTCTAAAATAAAATATAATTACTAAATAATTTTTCGTGTTTTGGATACATTAATATTTTATTATATTCTGTCGGTAAATTTCATGCCACTGAATTACATATTGACATGTACCTAACACATTACGTATAACTTGTTTAGCTCTCATGTCTGTATACTTCAAAATGAGCATGTTCTAAGAAATCTGGTCAAATTAATGCCCAATAACTATTCACATTTATAGTAATTACGTCCATGGGAACATTTAAATTATACAGTAAACAGTAACATAAAAATTGTATGAACCACATAACCGAACTTCCTGTATTGTACAGCATAAAAGAATTATTATTTTTAATTCAGCGTCGCTTTTTACTCGATTAATTGTACCTCGGTTCTATAAATTTAATCCACTCAAAAGAATGTTGATGTACATTACAATATTTTATAAAATAATAGACGTTTTATTAATCTGGATCGAGGGTTCATATTGTACATGAAAACATCAGCAACTGCATTGAATGGCTTACATATAATAATTAGGTCAGATATAGAGAACATATCGTTCATGGAATCTATTGTTACAGTTCGTATCTTATACCCATACAGTAAATCCTTTCGTAATTATATGCACAATCGACCATTCAATATGATTAACCCACTTTCCTGTATTATCGTAAAACAAAATTTAAACATAGAAACACGAATTAAACCTGCTCATACAGACATTCATTTCTAAGTATAACAATAAAAGTACTTTTGACAGTTCGCTTCATAATCACCAGTAGTTGATTATGCGGCTTAACCATCATATATAATTATGAAATAAAATTACACGGATAATTATGTATCGATTTGTCACAATTACAATGGTTGTAACTTTAAATGTAAGCTTTTAAAATAACTATTAGTGAATCAAGTATAATTTTACAATGTCTAATGTTGCTATTGCTTTACTATTGTCTTTCGAGAAATCTGAATTCTAAGGTATTACGTTGAGATTACAGAACTAATGATGATACGTACTATGCATTTTAAGAGAAGTTTCGGATGTATAATTTGATAACGCAGTAAGGAAGCAACAATTCGAAGCGTTGTTTTCATGATAGTATGCTTAATTCTTGTTAGCTAAACTACACCTTTAATACGTGTGTCTATTGTATATACAGTACTAAATTTTGTGTAATTAAACAGAAATTGTAGTAATGCACATTACAGATTATTATTATATGCTATTACCTATACTCAGCAATACAATATGTTTTATTTTTCATTTTTTTTGTTTTAGGAATGCCCGAGAAATTGCTAATTGTTCACATCATTTCTTGTCAACAAACAGATAAATTAAATATTTTTTTTATCGTTTATTAAGGGTTTTGTGAAACACTGTAATCATTTAATAGTCATTTTTAGTTGTTGCTCTTGAATCATCCCATATACGAGATTTTGACAAATTCGTGTACTGTTCTTATGATGATTGTTATATATAATCAACAAAGTGACTGACTATCAGTCAATTTCGTTCAGCATTTTTTTATTATTTATATATACCTATTTACGTTATATAAAAAAATTGAACATTGGCCAACCATTTCCAAAGTAATAGGGTCATATATCCAACGTAGAAAAAATAACACGGCAAATCTCATAAAAAAAAAAAATCATAAGTTTTTATTATATTAACTTAAAAAGTTCTAGATTTCACGGTTAGTTTATTTAAAACGCTTATTTAAACTTTTGTACTTTCATAAACAAAATCCTCTATAATTAAAATTTCTGAAAAATGAAAATATACTATTAATAATACTGATACAGACGTAAGAAGTAAATTTAATTAGATTCGAGATGGTGTCATTAATATAAAAGAATAAATAATCATTTAAAATACTAAAAATAAAATGATTGTGAAATAAATCCTAGTATTGATCATACCAAACTTGCATACTAAAATTCGAGGCCTAAAAATTATAATATAATAATAAAGAAAAACAACATCTAAAAATTTTATCAAATAATCTTGGTACATATATATATATCTAAGTATATTGGACAAATTCCAGACTTTTAAGTTAAGGTCTGAATGAGCTATGATCCTTCAAAGCTTGTATTCATACCGAAATTTCATGATTTCATTTGTAATATGACATATAAAATGTAATCTTGAGTCAAAGTATTGAACAGTTTGAAATGTTCACCAAGTGGTCTTAAACACGGTAGTCCATGATGTTTTGTCCAATCTAATAACTTTTGACCAGCAAATATTATGCTTTACTTATTTAGCTCTGATGCGGAGAACGTATTATATTTACTATGATGTGTTTTTTTTTATGTCGTCACTTTTTACCGGACCGATTTCTTTCAATCATACGTAAAAATATCACTAATCGTATCTAGTTTAAGACATCCCTTATGTCTTTTAAAGGTAGTAACTTTATATTTTTAATGAGAACATTCATATTTAACAAGCTTATATATTGAATAATAACTTAATTAAAGAAAATGACTAGACATTTTTCTATTGGGATAGATATGACTTGAAAATCTCTAGGTATAAAAATACAAACCCGCGCAACACTCTTATTCATTACTTTAAATTGTTAATAACTTCAGTTGTTAACTACAATAGTTGTTATCGGCTAATAATTTTCATAATTAGATTTAATTCGATCGCGATCAACATATTTTGATATCAATAAGAGAACAAAATTAAAGCGGTGCGATGAGTAAGCACCAGTTAGATATAATACGCACAACTGTAGTGAAATTGCCTACATAAAACGCCGTCTTTATAATTGTTTTTTATCTTTCTAGAACTCATTAAACATTTTCGAGGATACCAAAATGAATGGAAAAACTTAAAATTTGACAACTTTTTTTTACGTAAAAAAGATATAATAATTAATTGAAATAATTACCATTTAAACAATATAATAATTTATGAGGTAAACATTTTTATTCAAAGGTTTAAAAGATAATTTTTTTATTCAACTAATGACAAAGAAATTAATGATAAAAAAAAAAAGACTAATTATCTAGTTAAGTAGCACATTGAACATTTTAGTAATTTGTCTTTATTAAAAACGATATTCTTTAGATAATGTATTTACTTAAAAGCGGACTTAGTATATTTTGTACCTAGTTGCGCTTTCTTTATTGCCCTATCTCATTTGTTAAGATTAAAAGTAACATTTTTTTTTGTAAATCGTTACTTTTATGTCTGCAATGTGGAAGCGAATTCAAAATGAACGTTAAATTTTACAATTATGTGTATATATAACTTAAAATATTATGCTTACAAAATATCACTACGCGGTTGCTGTGCAGTGTCGAGTATACATACATTGCGTGAAAAATAGTGTAAAACACATCATTAGTTTATTATACTGCAAGATTGATGTTATTTACATTTTTAATTTAATATTACTTTAGTTTGTAATTTACGATTTATCCAAAAAGGTTGCAATTGAACATTACAAAATTATTTCTGTTAACAAAAATAATTTTTAATTGTTACATAGTGATAATTTTTAGATGTTTTATATAAATCAAAATGTTAAAAAAAAATTTAGTTACTTTTTTATAATTCATGAATGTAACTTTGTACAATTGTATTATACATCTGTTAAACTTTTAAATTGGAGACACGTATATGAAGTATTTTAATGGCGTATAGTGAAGTTTTTGTAAAAGTACTTTGTTAATATTGAGTAAATATAATACTTATACTGAAAAGAAAAATACCAGACAAAAGTAAGGAATTAATTCATAATATAAGTTAATTAAGTTTTAATATATTATATTGTAACATAAAACTATTTATCGTAGTGATGAAAGTTTCAAAGCTCCAGCGAGTGAGTTATTGTTAATAATGTGTAGAATTGAGAATTCGAGATATTTTACCAATTGTAATAAACAATGTTTTAGAGCTTAATAAGTTTAATGAACAGAAATTTTTCGAGAGTTAATTTAATTAAGCGAATTTTTAATAGTTATAAAATATAATAATACTTGTATCTTTAGTATTTTCCCGTCTTCTAGTACATAAGACCATGTGTGTATTTTTTATGAAATCACAGTATTATGTGATTTACTATATTATTACGTTTAAGTTATGCGACATCATGATTACTCAAGTTTACAGGTACCACGGTTATCATAAAAAATATGCGCAAATAAGAATTTGATCATTATAGATTGTTATTTAATTTACCTCTGAATACCGCAAACGATATCTGTTGGTTTGAGCACTAAGACAAACGTGATCAGATAACACAACAGTATGCCGGACAAGAGCACGTACGAAACTTCTCTGCCAGCGGCCTTGACAATGGGTGTGTGGTTATGTTTGACAAATACGGCTACCACTAGTAATGTGACAGCCACTCCAACTGCTGAAAGGGTCATAGCACTGATGGCCCAGCTACTTCCGATTCGCAAAAACACTTCCGGTATTTCCAAACATTGTTCTCGGTTAACGTCTGGCAGTGTGCCCTGAAGACATGGTATGCACATTGTCTCATCTGTCGGTGATCGGATCTACAACGAGAATTATTAATTTTACTGTAATTATCAAAAATACATGTCTATTTTACTTGTTCATGTTTAATTGAGTTTTATTCCAAGTAATATTAATTGGCAAGTTATAAAATATGACAATTAATTTCAAAAGAATATTGAAAACTATGATTAATTTAAAACGATAGTATACTTTTTAAGGTTATAAAAAAATGTAGAAGTTATTTTAAATTTTAATATATTTCAATATAATAAAAATTGATTACTTGTGAATAATATTATTTAAAATTAAATTTATATTAAAAATGTTGATTTAAAATATAAAAATATAAAACTCAACAACTGATAAAATGTGATGGTGTCACTAGAGATATATAAAGGTTTTTTTGTTCAGCCAGAGTGTCAGTATGTGTTTAGCATTGATAATAGTAACATGTTTCCAAAATACTTTTTACGGTTTATTATAGTAGTTTTTGTTACTTTTTGAGTCAAATATTTTATTTTATTTCAAACTAATATTTTTTATAATTTTAATTTGAAATATTTCTATACTTTGAACTATAAATAATGTTTAACTCGACTTTATTGTTTAATGATGATTTCAAAAAAAAAATACCGTAATAGACTGACAATAAATTTTAAATTGTATATTGAACATAAATAAATGAAGATTTACAATGTCGACTAACATCATAGTAGTTTGGATGAAATTGTTTTACGAATCAAAAACTAATTATTTTTATTATTACCATAAATGTTTCAAATGATTTTTATTATGATATTTTACTTTATATTTTGAATAAAAATTACATGGATTGATATTACAAATTTTAGCAATGAAATGTTTTTTTACTTGAACATAGTAACAGTGGCCTTTTTTTTGTTTCAACTATTTTATTGCGATAAAAAAAAAAAAAACAGCGTCTTATTAACATTTTTTTTATTATTTAGCTTCGATGATATTTTTTTAACTTTTGTAATCATTGACCCCATTAATTCTTTTGTTATATCCTGTTTATGTTTTTTCATTAAACATTTTAGTAATTATTCATTTTTGTCAACAATCAATTGTTTATATTTATTGACGCTTTGCCGTCCTTATGAGATTGTATACTACAACAAATTTATTTATAAGACAATAATTAGCTTTAAATGCACTCTCAATAAATTTTTATTAATATTAAAATTATTTATAATTTATTTATTCAATTATTACCTAATATTTTCTAGTGTTTTCGTTATAATGAAATGACCAAAACGAAACGATTATGTTAGTGTAATCGATTTATATAAGAAAAATATAACCTTGTAGTTTTTTTATTCTAAAATAAAATATTGTTTAGGATATTAAATTGGGTGTTTTAAATCAATTGGATTAACAATTGGAATATACTGATTAGTCAATTGAAAATTAGTTTTTAAGGATATTAAATTTAATTGCCTTTTAAATGCTTAAATTCCTGTCAATTTTTATGCGTTAAATTATTTGCAATGTTATGTCAAAAATACAGACATATATAATTGTAGCATACATTTCGTACCACAATATTTTGTGTTTAAGTATTTGATAACTGTAATCATATATGTGAAAAAGGTATCAACGAAATAATTTTTTACTGAGATAGGGAGCATCAGTTAGAAGCTTAATGCGTATAAAAAAGTTTCGCATCATTAAATTTACGTTTACCGCACAATTGCATAATATTTTATATGGAAGACGGGCACGGAGTAGATCTTACGAGACTCAGAGACATATAACGAATTGGTATTCGAGTCAATTGAATTCTTTTGAAAATGTTTCATAAGGATCTCCTACGTGCTACTCTAAAGAACGTTATGTTCAGGCTGTTGATTACAACATGGCGGCCTTTGTCTGGTCATAAAAGTTATTTGCTTGTTAAAAATTTGAGTCTATTAATAATTACTGTCGTTATTAACATATAAACGGGTTGATCATGATCAGATAAAATAAGAATGAGTATTAACACCTGCTAATGATGTGCTAACGAAACGACTGATCATGGGAAGATTCAGTAAGTTATTAAATTCACTAATGATTTTTTGTAGAATGTTATAACAAATCTATTACCGACAAATAATTTACTGAATCTTAGCGTATAAACAAGTAATTTGATTTATTAGGCATTTTTCGGTTAGATATCCCTTCAAAATTAATCATAAAATAATGTCGAGTCGAACAAAAATATATATATATGCAGAAATCAACAAAAAAAAAAAACAAAAATCAAGTATTGTAAAAAAAATTCTGGTTTAAAAATATGAAGAATAAACTTTACACATTTACAGAACAAGTTGACTGCTTATAGGAAACCATGTGTTTTATGATCGATTACAAATACTACTGCAAATACAATCAATAGCTTCGTTTATTTTCTAATATTAGAATTGGTTGTGCCACGTGTGAACGATCTTTCATCTTCTTATTTTAAAATAAAGTTAAGGAGATGTCAAATTGATCGACGGAGGTGTTTTACTTTATTATTTTACATATTATAATGCACAAATGTAATAATAAATCGACTGTCATCTGTTTATGCTCATTGCTAAAATTGATGGCTACAATTAATTATTATTTCTAATTAAATGTCGATTAATAACGAGAAACAATGGAAACAAGGAAGATGAGATTAATATTAAGATTATTTTGAAGGAACGTAACGCCTCAGTCAATAGGAACATTCCACATATTTTTGTATAATAATCTGAATTCCGTTTTGATTTTCCTACGAGTAAATCAAAACGTGAAGGTATAAAAAAGGTAGCGTTCAATAAACCACGCCCAAGTTTTAAAAAAAGTTATTCGTTTTAAATGAATATTTATACTTATATTTACAAATTGTATGTTGTTTACCTGGTAGTGTGTACAATTGTAACAGTGCCAACAGCATTTTTCGCCTTCAAGATATTGTTTTGCTTGTCCTTTCTTACAAGGTAAGCTGCAAACTGATTCAGGCGGATGCGACATTTCAGTTTTAAAACGCATATCTAAAAATAAAAAGATTAGTCGTCAGTATTGATTCATTATATTTGCATTGATAGGCAATTACTTAGAGAATATGAAACTACAGAAATTTAAATGTTTAGTATTCCTAATTAAAAGTATATACTCCATGTTATTTAATTATGTAAACAATTTTTGTCTAATACACACTTCGTGTACAAATCCAAAAAATTAGGAAGTGTAAGATAACATTGTACATAAAAGAATATCTCATAAGTAACAAAATAAAGTAAAAACACATTTCAAAAAATAGATAATGTTATGGTATAATTACCTTAGATTTAAAAGGAGTATAAAATAAATCAAATTATCGATAACATTTACCAAGAATAACTTATATTATGGAACTTATTAATTAATAACAATCTATATGTATACATTATATTTCATCTTTAAAAGTATGGTTTCGTATAATATAAGAGACTGATTATCTATGAACAATATTAAGTTATTTTGTTATTTATTACTGAAATAAATTATTATATATGAAGTAATAATTTCTCGCAACAATTTATTTAAAATAAGTTACTGATTAGATTTATTAAAAATCAGAGAAAAAAACTTTTATCAAGTTAATTATTATATTTGCTGTGTAGTTTAAAAAATATTGGTTTTACAATTGTTTTTTTTTTATTTGATTCTTTTTACAGAGAATTATTTTTATAAAGTATGTTAAAACACAAATTATGTTATAATCTACATATCATATATTCATTTTTATTTTATATTGCTTTTCATAATTTTTAAATTTCTTATTGACTTCTAACATCTAATGAAACGACAGAAAAATTAAATAGTAACACTAAATCCTGGAAAACAAATATAGAATTTCAAGCGTATCCAAACAACATTATAATATTATATTACTATTAAAATAATTTATGTTGAAAAAATTAAACATGTTTTATAGATTAGTAGGTATACATTTTAATGTTCTACATCATACCGTCATCAAACATGCTAGTTGTATACTGAATTTCAATAATGTATTATCATGAAAATTAAAACTTGAAAAATTGATTTTAATTTAATATTGGTGATATGAGTAATATGACATGTTTTATTCTTCTATGAATTAGTTCCCTAATAACAACATTTAAATTAAGTGCATAGCATGTCTTGCTTACTTTACTATTAAAAATTATACTTCAATTGTTCTTTGTAAACAAATCACTGATGAATAACAAGCAAGTGCTAATATTNAATAATAGTGATATGAGTAATATGACATGTTTTATTCTTTTATGAATTAGTTCGCTAATAACAACATTTAAATTAAGTGCATAGCATGTATTGCTTACTTTACTATTAAAAATTATACTTCAATTGTTCTTTGTAAACAAATCACTGATGAATAACAAGCAAGTGCTAATATTTTTATTATAAGACATTACTTGGCCTCACTCCTGTTCCTGCCTAGGTATAAAAATGTAACTAAGTTCTGAAATATTAGTCCAAAAGTTGTTAACAATACAATTTGATTATCATAAAAGTCTTTTTTGTTAGATCAATATTTTTTAATAGTTCAAAAAACTTATATTTTATCTAGTTGAAGTTAGGATTTTTATTTTTTTGAAAAACTGCACACGAATATTTTTAACACTGAATACATTGATGTTTCAAGTTGCTTGTATCTTTATTATTTTTTTAATCATCAATTATTAAAGTTAACTCATATTTCGTAACACTATTAAAAGGTTTTTATTTATTAAATAACTTTATGAGAATAAAACGTATTTCACATAAGTTTTATAAAGTTGACAATTTTATTAATGTAATTTACAATCGAGTCCTAAAGAATAAAAAATTACCTTTTTAACTAGGGGCATTATTTTTTTAGAGAAAAAATCAAGTTCATTTGGTTAACTGAGGTAAGTTTTGAGAGTAAAATAGCACCTTAAGTTTCACTTCAGTTTTTATAAGACAAAGTTAAAATTCGTAGTATCAGAAAATATAATAGAGTTTGGTAATTATAAAAAATATATTTAGGATTACATATAAAATACTTCATAAGAAATGAAAA